ATACTCAACATCTCCCACTGTACTCATGGGCCGACGTGCAAAACACCACACGTCAGAGCAGAGACTCGCCGTTAAACGGGCTCAGCAAGCGAAGTACGCCGATAGTCCTTCGTAAGAGCCCATTGAGATACGGAGTTCACTTCACTTACAATAACAACTTACAGTGGTCGTGCGAGGCGAGCCAGAGTGAGTCGCGACGCATATGCAGTCCGCATTGGGAATCGTACTAGCCCCTTCCACAACGAATCAAGCCGTCCCTTCGGCGATCTTTACTCTTGCGCGAACACCTTTCAGCATCTCGGTGGCATGCCGGCGTGGTACCGTGAAGACCGATCTTGGCCTCTACACTCCTCCATACACCCTGACTATCCCCTCGGAGCTGCGTCGAGTTGGAGAGGCTGATCAAGACAAGGGCGAGGGCGATGAACTGTTTGCGCCGGACGAGACAGATCAAGCACAAGACTTGACCCGTGCCTTGAATGGCCAACAATATCGCCTCTTCACAATGAACGGAGCACAACGCTTCATGGAGTGGAGGGATCAGCCCATCTCGGACACTGTAGCTAAGGTCCAAACAGAGATCGAGGCACGTATACACAACTGGGACACGGGCACAGGTAACGGAGACTCGGAGGGCCTTACAGATCACTATGAATGCGTAATCGCACGGGCTGTGGGGATGCATTGGGCCGCGAAGATTATATGTACACTCGCTCGGGAGTTAGAAGTACTGCAGAACGGCTACGTAGTGTATCAGGCTGCATTCGACAACATGTTATTACCTTGGCAGTGCATGAACTTGTTTGCATAGCTAGCAGGAATCATACATATGTTTCACGCACTTGTTCAAACCGATGTGACTCTTAGTTCACTATGTACTTCGTGAACTTCAAGGGGAGGTCGATATCAAACATTACCTACGTGACCGCAACACAAATGTCTCAGACTCTTAGTACGACAAGGTTAGTATGATGTCCTGGACATAGCTCAGGTCAAGAGCATTGTTTCTGAATGTGAACGCCAAGGTGAATACGCAGGAGTGGTGACTGACCACAAAGGTGACCAGCATGATAGTACTAGCCGGCGGTGGGTGTTTCTTTAGCTTCAACTTGCACATTAACAACAACGTTCGCCCCAGCCCACCTCGCAACTGCGCTTCTATCTAAATTACTCTGGTGCTTCGCTCGTCTTCCCCTTCTGCACTCATCGGCCCTCTTTCGTCTTGAAAGCCCCGTTCTTCGTCGGTTTCACTGTTGAGCTCGGCGACCTTTGGTTCAGCTGAGCGTTATACCACCCCTGATTGGTCAAGCAAGTCTCAGGTCGATGGCGTCCTAATTTTGGCTCCTGTACCGCCAGCGTCACATGCGCTTCGATTGAGTGGCATCTCGGTGAACGCCGCGTTCCCTTCGCCGACCTCCCAAAATGAACACGATGCGAAACACAAAGCTGTCTTCCATTTCCCGAATATCTCTGCCTTCAAAGCTGCGGTCCAGGCAATAGCGGAGCAAGTAATGGCTGAAAACGGATGTTTTCCAGCTCCATGGATACGGTGAGTTCAATTCGATTCTAATGTATCAGATTCCTGGCTCGGCGGAGAAGACTCCGTGTATTGCGCTGCACCAGTCGGCGGTCAAGGCAATGGCTGGAGCGAGTAGGGGCTGAAAAGAAGTACAAACACTTTCTGGTTCGGAGATGGTGAGTTCAATCCGACTCGTTGCAGGATATCAGACTTCCTGGCGTCGCCCTGCACGAAAGACGGAGACCGGACGCATGCAAATGGAACCATGCGCCGGATTGGAAGCAATCACCTGTCGTCCGAGTAAGTGCATATACCGCTCTGAATGAACAAATGCGGTAGCCCTAATTCTCTCCCCAGATAAATGATCTATGAACAGTGAGTGTTGGTTGGCTTACGCGGCCTGGATCAAACCTCAGTGGCGTCCAGGATCGCGCCCATCTCGGTGCATCAATGCGGTGGGCGGCATCCACCAGAATGTCGGGGTCAGTCCAATTATTCCTGAGCTGAGTACGTGAGTTCACCCGGCTGCTCGTCATGGCCCCCGTTGCAAAGAAGCGGCGCCGTGGGCATGTTGGCGTGAGGTTCTACGACGGTGATGATGACGATGACGAGGCTCCCAGACGTCGAACACTAGGGACCCTCCATCAGCACACATCGTTCGCAACCACCACAACAGGGATATCCACTCGAACATCCCGCATCCCTGTGGCAGATCCCACCACGGCGGGCACGAACCCTGTACCTTCGGTCTCTGCCCATCAGACCAACACGGCCCTTGACGATGTTCCTGTGCCAGGCCCGGTCGTCGATCCAGACTGGGAGAGGGAACTCGGCGAAGACGACGCACTTGGCACGCTGTCTCCTGATTCTTTCGTAGATATTGGCGAGTATCTAGAGGCAACCAAAACCCGAAAACGCACAGCTAGCGTAAGTGTCCACTCGTCATCCTTGAAATGGAATCCACACTCACTCGCACACGTTCATAGGACCATCCTCTCCTTGAATGGTCTAGGAACTGCGTCGATGAGTGGCTTGCTGAGCTCGTTCGTCACGAGGGACGTGGCAACTTTGCGTATGACACTTGTGCTGGATGCGAGGCAGGGGAGCCGCAACTCTTTCGCTGCGACGACTGTTGGGACCCACGGTTCTACTGCCAAGATTGCACCCTTACTCGACATCGTTGCAACCCGTTCCATCGACTCAAGGTATGTCACTTGAGCGTCTCACTTGATCTGCTTCGGCATTTACTAGCTGTGCAGATGTGGGATGAGACACGACTCCGTAGAATCACTCTAAAACAGCTGGGATTGCGGATCCAGCTAGGTCATGCAGTCGGCGACCTATGTGCAAACCCGCAGAGAGCGTTCGGCGATGACTTCGTCGTCCTGGATGTTTCTGGAATCCATGAAGTGGCCCTCGACTACTGTGGTTGCGAGGGTGAAGAAACGAAGCCCATTCAGCTGCTCCGTTCGAGACTACTGCCGGCTACGAGCGTCGATCCGAAGACGGCGGCGACATTTCGTCTCATGGAGCACTACCACGTCTTGCACAACCAGACGAAGGCGTCCGGTTTCGAGTTCTACAACACACTCTTGCGGTTGACGGACAATACAGGGACACTGGACCAGAAGGTGCGTAGTCGTGCGTAGCATAGCAAACGACACTGACGGGTTGTACTCCAATAGGGACGATATGGGAGTCTCATGCGCATGGCGCGCATGTGGATTCATCTCAAAATGCTCAAACGATTCGGCCGTGGGCACGATCCAAGTGGTGCCAGAGCTACCGAACCTGGCGCCTGTGCAGTCGCCTGTCCTGCCTGCCCACATCCCGGAATCAATCTTCCGTCAGACTGGGAAGATGCGCCGCCAGAGAAAAGGTATGACTCGGTAATTCGTTTGAACAGTGTCACTAATCAAACATGTACAGCTGGCTGTATCACCTCTTCGTCGGGATAGATGCCAACTTCCGCCTCAAGCGCAAGGACGTGTCTACGGACGCCGTCGATCCCGGACTTAACAGAGGGTATGCATACTTTGTCGAGGAGAAGGCATACAAAGTGTTTTTGGACGTACACGACAAGCACGAGAAGATCGAGAAGAGTTCGTGCAACAGTCACGACGCCGTCAAGCTAGCGAATATGAGAGGCAGCCAGGGCACTGCTGCTAGCGGCGTCGCGACGATCGAATGCGTCCGTCATGACATGAAGCGACCGTGTTCCGTAGGAGACCTTCAAAAGGGAGAGCGGTATGTTTTTGCGCTTCTTGTTGTTCTACCACTGAAGTCTGATGAATACAGGTACGTGAACATGGATTATCTGTTTGCGAGCAGCTTGCGTAAGCACTCCACGACGCGCGTAGTTGTCTCATACGACATCGCCTGTCAATGGAGTGTTAATCTATGGAGCCGCATGATGCAGTACGAATTTGAATGGAACTTTGAGCAACAAACGATCACTTTCCTCATCCCGAAATTTCACCTTCCGGCTCACCAAGAAAGCTGTCACACGAAGTACTCATACAATTTTATCAAGCACGTTGGCCGTACAGATGGAGAAGCCGTGGAGCGCGGTTGGGCTGCTGTCAACGGATTCTCGGGTAGCACGAAGGAGATGGGGCCAGGATCGCGTCGGGACGTCCTCGATGACGCGTTCAGTGACTACAACTGGCGCAAAGTCATTCAGTTACGTACGTGTTGGTTCACATATGCTAAACAGGTTGCATTGACTCGGCTGTAGCCAAAACATTGCTCATCAGGGTCAAGAACGCAGTCGATGAGCGCAGCAAACATGTAGCCGAGTTCCAGGACTTGACTCAGGTCACGAACTCTGTGCATGTAGCTGAGTGGACGCAGCAAGTGGAGGCTTGGGAGAATGGAGCCGATTACAATCCGTTCGTGGGCACTCGGCACCGTGAGTGCCTTGTACGAATGCCAATTCGACCGAATCTCACGAATCGTACAGCTGTGACGCTTGCGTCTATCCGCCGCACGCTCGCCGAAGAGGAATCAACTGCCATCAACGACGGAACATTCACAATGCTCCATGACACGGTGTCGCCAAGTGTTCTCATCATTGCAGGCCTGGAAATCGAAGACCTTCAGTAAGTTCGTTACCTTCGAACACATTTATGACTACACTACTAAGCCTCGTGTACAGGCGTCGCCTTCGCAAAGATGCTGCATCTATCGGCAACAGTGGTACGGATTCGCAGCACGCAGACATTGTCCGCCGTCGCAACAACTTACAGCTTAGGATCAAAGCCTGGCGAGAGTTCCAAGATCTCTACATGCCCGGCATCATCCAGCTACGAACCCTGAACACGTCTGTGAGGACAGTTCATCCTGAGAATTTCCTTCTCTTCCTTCCGTCCGCCGTCGTCAATGTGGCTTCGGTTCCACCTTACCCCGCCCTCAATGACATCGAACGGCGTCTTCGTCACGCACAGGCTACTGACACTCTGGAGCAGCTGAAGCAACATCTCCGTGCTCGTTCAAAACTCTACGGCGTGAAGGACCGGGACGTCCGCGGCCAGCGATATAACACTCGCTCTCGTACATATATCAAAACTGTCGATGCGCGCATCGACGCCGACCCACTCGATACCGTGCTGCCTACGCCGCTCTGCTTTCCCTTGACCCAACGGACGACCTCAAATGGCGGAAGTTCCTGCGTCCTTTGAACGACAGCGACGTCCGCGGAATGCAAGACAGTCTTGAAGAAGAATCTGAGGGCAGACGAACCCTGTCTTGGATCTGGCGCACGTCAGGTTTCTCTCGCGATGACGCCTCCGACGAGGACGCGGACGATTTGGAGGGTATGCATAAACTAATCTACTCCGAGTCATTCTTTCGCTGATAGCATTTTTCAAGCCGTGCGCATCGAGTGGTGCAAATCGCGTGCGCGCGCCCATCGGTGGAGTGAAGAGTGCGATCTTCTCGAGGAAGAGATGCGGCGGGTTATGGCCTTTTTCGAGTGGGAGAGTCAGTTGTGGTCTCGACGTGCCGAGAATGCGGCCTGGACAGATGAGGCAAGCACCCACTCTCTCGCATTCGCTACCAGCCATGAGCATACTGAAGGGTGTATCGCATATGCTCATCGGCAAGCTGATATACGCACCGCCTTGATCGAACACTGTAAGAAGTCTTGGGCGGATGTAGCAGAGTATATACAAATGGGGACACAACTGTAATGTATCACAGGAGACTGGTAGGCGTGATGTATCAAGAGGTGCTACCAGAAGACACAATGTATTACAAGACATTGGTAGACACGATATATTATAAGAATCATAAGCTACGGGTGGGTATGATGTATTCAAAGATGCTAACTTACCAGCAATCGGGATGTATTACAAGACGGACGAGATACATCGAGGCACACTGGCAGACGCGATGTATCAAGAGACGTGGCCGGCAGATGCGATGGATTACAAGACACGATGCATTAGCAGACGCAATGTACAACGTAGTAGACGTGATGTATGACATGGTATTGGGATGTATCACGAGACAGACACGATGTATAACATGGTAGACACGATGTATTACTACGAGACAGATGCGAAGAACCAGACCGACGTCGCGTGGCGTGCTAGGACATATGTATCGCATGATGGGTCGGCCGCGATGTCTAAGAGTACTGATACAACTCTGAACGGGACGGAGACCATGTGCGAGAGAGCAGATGTAGTGGATCGCGGGGCAGCCGCGATCTTTTTGCACGATAGAGGTGATGCACACACGGCGGCTGTGAGGCGCGGAAGATGTATATAGTAAGCACGCGATGACAGCAGGGATCGGACAAGACGTACCTTGCGCACGACAGAGCCGCCGTGTGGGAAGGCATGCACACAGTGTCATGGGGAACAATTATATTAGCACTCACGGACAGTCATCAAGTAATCCTCCGCCAGCCGTGCGTCAGACGCCACACAACAAATGGGACATCATGCACGGTGAGAACGACGCGGGGCGGAAGAAACCACGGGTGGAAGAGGAGACGGCCATCGCAGGCGAGTTAGTCGACTTGAAAACTTGGGGTACTGAAGCGAGTGAAAAGAGGAACGACGGCGTTCCATGGGTGGCAGAGAGAACCGGAGAGGGACTCGAGGCAGTGGGCGAGGACTCGGAAGGGGCGGGATGGCCGTGAGAGGGAGGGCGAGAGGGCGGGAGGGCGAGAGGGCGAGAGGGCGAGAGGGCGAGAGGGTGATGGTGGTGAGGCCATGTCTGCCTATTATACGGGCCATTGATCAATATTGTCGCACGATGTCGAGGGATGTATCACTGACCGGTATGTATCAACATCGAGGCCGGCTCCATTCACAGACGTTGATACATTGCAGTGCCCGCAGCGCGGTCTGCCGATGTATCACCTGCCGGACTGAAATACATCCCCCGACGGCTACTTGCAGACTGATACATCCACCAGCATCGGCGAATTGTCAGTGAGCGATGTATTGCCTGCCTGGGCCGTGATACATCGACCCGCCCCTGCACGGTTGGCTGATGTATCGCCTGCCTGTACCGTGATACATCGACCCGCCGCGGCACGGTTGACCGATGTATCGCCTGCTTGTACCGTGATACATCCACCGGCGTCGGCGACATCGGTGAATGCAAAAGGCGCCCCGTTGACGTCTATCAACGGGACACGCATGAGCCGAACACCTTCAGAAGCATGATGAAAGTGCACTGCCCTGCGTTGTATTCGCTTCGTGAGAAAGCCGTCAACGACTGCCTACCACCCGTGTTCCTGCAGTTGGTCGAAAGCTGGATGAGGGTATGAGAAGAGCAGATCGCGGCCGCAACATCGAGTCATGTCAGTGAGGGGTTGCACATTGTATAAGTAGGACACATACCGGAAAGAGACAGTGGACGCTGGAGGTGTCGATCAGTCCGATCGACAATACACATGGAAGTGCATCAACGAGCCGGGCGGCGGGTCCGCTACCTGTTATGTAGTCGGTGTATAGGCTGCTCATACAGTACGCAGCCCATTCGCGGTGTGCATCAGCCCATCTACGAGGCAGGCTGACCTGGAGACCTAGTACAATTGTGTATAATGAATCAGCACAGACCACAGGGAAAGCTGGTGTGGGCACCGACGTACTAGATTAGGTAGTAGGCGGTGCCAGATGGCACCCGAAAAGCATCCCAATGCTGGTGATCTAGGTATGTCGCGCCCGTATTGGTATATTGGAGGCGCATCAACGCCACTGGCGGCCGTCACGATCTGTCATGTGTAAGTGCGCGCTCCCTAGTGAAAGCGCGGGAGAGACCGGTAGTGAGTCTGTCATGTATCAAGCACTGAGTGCCACCAGGCGCGCCCGAGTCGGGTGTAGCAGTACCAGTAATATATACGGTCTGCAATGCATAAACATCCCGACGTGTAGATCTACAGAGCGGAGGTGTGCGATCGTCTGTGATACATCGGTCCAGGAGCCAGCGGGTGGCTGAGTCATCTGAGTCAGCGGCTGCCAAATAGGGTAGGTGAGGTCGGACTCTCATGTATCAGCGGCTCTGATACATCGCACTGACGCACTGTTATATATCGCGTCATCGGTGGATTGCTTGGTGGTGGGGGGCTCGGTGAGTGAGAGATAGGATGTATCATTTTGTAACTCTAAGTAGAGAGGTCTATGTATCAGTCTGCCAGCTCTAGGTGATCCCTAGGGCACCTATGTTCTGTCTGAACAGGGGGGCCATTTAGTGTCTTGCTGGCAACGGACCGGCCGGGCAATAAGGGGTTTTAATTATAACAGATCAACCGGGATACTCTTTCTCCTATGGTAACGAACCGGCCGGGCAATGGGATCCTTCATTTGTAACGGGCTGGCCGGAGTGCATAATTCAGCAGTTGCAATGGGCCAGCCGGAGCATATGCTCCCTGGCTAATAACAGACTGGCTGGGTTGCATCATCTCTAGCTGGCAATGGAGCGGCCGGACCATTTTTCCACATTGATAGCAGGCTAGCCAGGCCATATAATCTAGCACTCCACACTGGTAATGGTCCGGCCGGTCAGTGGCACCATCCATTGGTAACGGTCCGGCCGGGCAACAGTATTGTGACCCAGTATTGGCTGGGCCAGTCAACAATAGACCATACTCCCTTAGAACAGCCTACTAGTAGCATGTATTATATGTCCACAGTGCATGCCCTATCACATTGCCTGAGCTGTTAGCTCACTGGCCAGCCATGCAAACACTGGCCGAGAGCATTCAAAAACCTTCGGCCTATTGTATTATGATACAGAGTGTGATTTGAATGATTGTATATGTAAGACCATCACTAATGGAGCCCAACATAGTGTTCCCACATTTTAAAGGGGCTTAGTGAAGCTGCCACCAGCCAAATTAAATGGCCGAACATCTCAAAACATCGGCCGGGCATTTTAGTTCATTGGCCGAAGCTTTTTATTCATTGACCGAAGCTTTTCCTCACTGGCCGAAGCTTTTTCTCACTGGCCGAAGCTTTCACTTCATTGGCCGAAGCTTCTACTTCACCGGCCGGCGAAAACAGCCGGTGCTCGGCGAAAATGGCCGGCCGGTGCGCAAAAACAGCCGGGCTGTTGAATTACTATATGTGGAAATGTGGTATTGTCTGGGAGCCCTTCATTTGCAGAGTCTAGTATCAATTTCCAAGTTTTCAAGAACACATAGTTAGGCCAGGATATGCAAGACAAGATTTACTACTCACAGGCTTCTTTGCAAAACATGTTATTCAATTCCTGAAGCCAATATTCTTTGCCCACACTGTTTGACAATCTAGAATGTGTTATCACAATGCATAGAGTAGATTCCCAAAAGGAATAGTCTTATTCTTTGAAGCTGAATGCAGGACAACAAATAAGGGGTATACAGGTATGGTATACATGTTGACTTCCTGCAGCTAATATTCTTTCCAAACAGTGTTTTACCATCTAGAATAGTTCATTGACCCACAAGGAATCAGTCCTCCAAAGGAATCAGTCCTCCAAAGGAATAGTCTTATTCACACAAGCTGAAGGGAGCACAGAGTTAAGGTGAGGGTGGGTATATGGGTATACATGTTATACTGTGTTCACATCCTGAAGCCAATATGCTTTGCCCACAAGGTTTGGCAATCAAGAATGGCACAGAAACATCTACCCACTGTTGGTAATGGTCCGGCCGGCCAATCCTCATAGGAGATGGTCCGGCCTGTGCATGATCCCCTTAACTCTGTACCACATTCAGCTCATGTGAATAAGACTATTCCTTTGGACGACTCACTCCTTGTGTGTAAATGAACCATTCTAGATTGTGAAACTGTGTTTGGAATGTAGATTGGCTGCAGGAAGTCAACATTGTTTGACATGTATACTATACCTTACCCCTTATCTCATGTTCTGCATTCAGCTTCAAAGAATAAGACTATTCCTTTTGGGAATCTACTCTATGCATTGTGATAACACATTCTAGATAGTCAAACAGTGTGGGCAAAGAATATTGGCTTCAGCAGTTGAATAACATGTTTTGCAAAGAAGCCTGTGAGTAAATCTTGTCTCGTATATCCTGGCCTAACTATGTACCTTTGGACACTAGGAAATCAATACTAGACTCTATGAATGAAGGGCTTCCAGACGATACCACATTTCCACATATAGTAATTCAACAGCCCGGCTGTTTTTGCCCACCGGCCGGCCATTTTTGCCGAGCACCGGCTGTTTTCGCCGGCCGGTGAAGTAGAAGCTTCGGCCGGTCAATCCAAAGCTTTGGCCGGTGAAGAAAAGCTTCGGCCTACGAAGTAAAAGCTTTGGCCAATGAAGTAAAAGCTTCGGCCAATGAAGTAAAAGCTTCAGCCAGTGAATTAAAAGCTTCGGCCAAAGAACTAAAATGCCCGGCCAATATTTTGAAATGTCCGGTCTATTGATTTGGCCCTGTAGGGACAACCTGGCTAATTTTATGGCCAGTAAAGCAAAAACCTGGGTGAGTGAAATCTCTGGCCAGTTAATGTGGCCAGCCAGTGGGGCTGTTTTGTGTTTTGCAGCTTCACTAGGCATCCCTAAGTCTTGGGAAAATTATGCTGTGATCTACTAATGATGGTATACGGTAATACCCCATAGGTGCATAATACATATAGTATTTCAATAGCCCCCAGGGGGCTGTGACCGGCCGGACCGTTTGAAGCAGGACAACTCCTGCCCGGCCGGCCTGTTCGTGGAGTCAGTTTGTTTAGGCTGGCCAACCCATTCTGGACCAGATAGACTTCACTCCGGCCGGTCCGCTTGCAATGAAGGGATTTTATCCTGGCCGGAACATTTGAAGTTTTGGGGCCTGAGTCCGGCCGCTCTGTTTGCAACGTGGACCGGCCGGCCGCTCCGTTGCATGTGCTAACCCTGCCCTCCACCCGGCCTGTTTGCAGTGATGTTGTATGGGTCCGGCCGGACTGTTTACAACAGGTACATTACCCCAGCCAAAAGCCCGGCCGGCCTGTTGCAAGCAGTGCATTGTTGCTAACGGTAGACCCGGACTACTCCGGCCTGAGGCGGCTCTACCGTTTGCAACGGTCAAAATGCACTCCGGCTGTACCGTTAACAGCGAGGTTTTCCACTGAATGGGCTCCTGCAACGGCACACGAGCTGGATAAGTCGCAACATCACTACGATGTCGGAGGTTGCATCGTCTTTGAAAGCCATTGCGCATTGTTTGGCGAGGGTGGTCACCGACTCGTTTGCCGACGAACTTTGCAAGCGGATACTAGAGACCGTACCGATTTGCAGGGACTTACAGCAGTCCAAGATCCTTCTCTCAGCCAGGTTGCTGGTGAGCATTGTGAAGAACCTTTGAACGCTGGCCTTCGACGACTGTGACGGTGCCGTTAGCTGATCTGATTCCCATACCAAATTCGATGGTGCGGTGTTCACAACACTAAATGGGAATCCTCCACGCCAGCATGGTGAGCGGGATCGCCGGCGCAGGGCATTACGACGATGAGAGGATTGTTCAGCTGCAGGGTTACCCGCTTCGTTACCCGCTTCATGGGCATACGGTGCCTTTCGATGGCGTGACCGTGTCTGCCTGGCTGGCCCTACGGTGCGGTCTGAGGTATTGCTGGACTGAGCAGTCACTGGTTGAAGCAAATGTCAGGCCAGTTTACGTACACATATAATCAGGCAGAGCTTACCGTTATCGTTACGGGCTAGCTGTTGAGTTTGAGAGCGTGTCCAACGCGGTTCAACAGACAGCTGAGAGGAGGAGACTGTGTTCTCCATGCTCAGTGCTGATGATTCTAGGGTTACTGTGGTATGAACCTATCCGTGTGTAACATAGGAGTAATTCTTACCTGACTGACTCGATTTTTCCCTAGGAATGTACCCGTTGCTTTGTAACCGTGCCAGCAAGTCCTGCAAGACTTGATTGAGGTTGGGTATGCTTTCAAGCAGCGCAATCAGATTCTGCTGTTCAGTTTCATCGACGGAAAGTGGAGTGATCATACTGAGAGTAACACAGTCGAGATGAGGCGTAATATAGACTGAGGATAGTACTAGAGAAGGTACTTAGCTTGTACGCAGCATTAGACACGAAGGCGCCCAAGACTAGCGGTTAACTTTCGTTAAGGTTGTGACTTCTGCACATAAACAAAGCGACATATATATATCGTTTCCAGACACGTACTGACATACAACGTAGATACACGCTCTAGTGCGGTTACGACAAAGCGACACGACAGCATTATGAAAACGCGAACAATGCGAACCTACACGACACTAACCTACCCGAACCGACATGAACCGTATGACTTACGAACGCCGCCGAGTCTCGCTCCTCAGCTCACGGCCGGTGGCGAGTGAGAGGATGTCGGCTGTGCGCAGGTTGTCGTCATCGTCGTAGGAGCTGTGGGCGGAGTGACTGCTCTGCCCGCTCTGCGACTCAAAAGAGGTATTAGCAGAAGTGTTGGCCGAGTCGTCGCTGTGCACCCTGTCCGTGACGAGGGTCTCCTGCGACGTATCATCCTGCAACAGGACGGACTCCGTCTGCAGCGGCAGCGTGTTCGCGCGCCTCCTCTTGTTGAAGTTCGCGATGATATCGTCCTCCCCGGACGACAGAGGTCCGTCGAGACGGCATTTCAGACACTTAGCAACCTCCAGGATCATGGCTCGCTCATCGGCACCTTTGAGCGCATCCTCCGGGAGGTTGTCGTCAACGCGGTAGTTGCTATTGTTCCATTTGTCCACCGCCAGCTGGTACGCGGCGATTTGAATGTCGTCGACTAGTTTAGGGATGGGGTCGGGGATGGCTGGCAGCGAGAAGTTCGGCGTGTCTCGTGCCTCGTTCTCCAAGCGATGTATGAGGGGTGCGTCGTTTGTCCTATCGCCTCTGTGGTCTCAGCGATCAGTCGCTGGTTGTGCGACGCCTCGCGAATGTTGCAGATCGCGCCTCGGTACTTGTTGACGACGTGATCGTGCAATTCAGCGACTGTCGACCCGGCGATGTATCTGTGTTGGACGGGCTGCATAAGTTCAAGTGAGCAATCATCAAAGACAATATATATATCAAAGGCAGAAGTTACGTACCACGCAATAGTTCCAAATCTGCCAGTCCTTCTTCTCCCAAAACCTTCTGAGGCAAACCTCCAGATCGGCCCGATCCTCTGGGATGAATACGTACATCTGAGCTTGAAGCCTCCCTACAAGTACCTGGTCTCCGCGCTTCCAGCCGGTAGACAGATGTCGTCACCATGCCGCCTCCCGCTACAAAGCCGTCCTCGTCCGGCTGCGAATTCTCTTCATCAGGGTCGATGTAGGCGAGTTCTTCTAAGTTGATCACGGTGAACAGAAGAGGACCCCTTTTGTGCTTCACGCACATTGTGGTGTGGATCTGAAAATACGTCAGTAGGTGGTTGATCGCAGTGCGTTGTAAAGTTTGCTTACCTGTGGCAGCACCTTCTTGAGGATCTGGGTGTACGATGTCTCGTTCACGTACGTGTCGCGAGAGATGTGGATTAAACGGGTTGGCGATAGTTTCTTCGATGTGGACACAGTCATCACGGCGTCCGGGATGTGTGCTACGTTGGCGGTGAGAAGTCCGCGCGCCCCGTCCATGCGAATGACTTGGGAGGGCGAGACGACGGCAGCGTCGCCGACTTGACCCGCCAAGCAATTGTTGACCCATTGGTGCAGACTTGTTGGGCCGTATACCGTGAGATTGCTCATGGCCGGGTTGTACACAAAGCTGTGGGGAAATAGTCAGTGCTTCTGGTAGGGTCGCTACTTAATCTCCGTGCACTCACGATAGACAATGTAGTAGTGACGGTTGGTCTTGGATGAATTGCCTTGTTGCTTGCCAGTCCTGTGAAGAAATGTTGAGGCGGACAGTGGAGGTGTCGTAGAGCCGAGGGAAACCGGGTCGTTCTTGCAGGTCGCCGAATATTTTGTCGGCGAGGGGCCAATGGCTGATCTTGTTGGCCAGATCTACAATATCGACGTAGCGCCCTTTCTGCCCGTGTGCGTGCGCAGGACCCAGCCCAGGGGAGGATGGCGGGTCACTTGCTGAGGACAATGGAGAGAGAGAGAGCGCTGCAGAGATGCGTTGAGTAATGCATTGAGTAAGAGAGTTTCGGTGAGTGATGTGACGCGATACCTGCTTACCTTCTAGTTCTCCCTCCCAGATTCCCTGGCTCGGAATGGCAGGGAGATCCTTAGCGTCAATGACGTGTCCGTCGTCTGAACCGGGGTGGCGACAATGTGAGGACCGCGCCCGTGAACGTAACGTATGGTGGACATGAGGAGGGGGATATGGTTTGGTGCCTGAGCCTGAGGTATATCGAAAAGAAAGAATCACTCATCGCATAAGATTCTTGAGGGCCAAGTGACCGCCACCAGCGCCACTGGAAGCCAGCCACCAAGGCCTAGGGGCCCCCGGCTGCTGTAGAATGCGGGCACATGGAGGGAAACAGCGGCACTCACAACTTATCGTCCAATGACGATCTATCGAATCCGGCCTGCAACAATCAGGACTCGCGTGATTGGGACAGCACAAGGTGGCCTAATCGTCCTTCTTCACTCAAGAAGTTCAAAGTTCGACGGCGGTGTGAAAGCCCCCCCCCCCTATAGCCCAATCAAAACTCATACCTTACAGAGTCGACGGCACTCCGCACAACGTTTACTGCACATCGCTGCCCGCATCCCATATACCGCCATTAAACACTTCGCCGTGTTCAGGCTGGCAATTGGGCCGATAGTTTCCTGATTCAGATGAGTGCGGTGACACTGCAGTGACCGCACTCATCCGAATAAGGAATTTGAAGGGCACCTCAGACCTGACAAGACGCAACATAGGTACTCACAAAAATCATTGCTAGTCGTAGGTAACACGATCTTCAAACCGTTCAATGCACTCACCTTTACTACAACCTCCAAGAGCAGAACTCAGGTAGGGCCTTTGGCAGAAGTGCGGTGGCGAATAAGAGATCGTGTATGGTCTCTACCAAGTGTCTGTATCAATGTGTAAACAAAAGGTGAGCGATGTAAGGGCGTGACGAACCAGAAGGTAAACTCTTGAATACGAATTATCCGGTGAGACAGAGGCACTGGTCGGTACAGATGTAAGACAAGACTTGGGTAGCCAAATCGTGCTTGAAGGCAAGCACACCTGGCCCTGGCGCAAGACGTAAGAAAGGCACCCTGGCGTTTAAACACCACAGGGTGCTTGCGAATTACGGCACCGTTCTGAACGCAAAAACTCACCGTCATCACCAGGCCAGAGCCTCAGCGTTCTGCGCAAATAGGTGAGTGTATTTATCCGCGGAATTCTGGTTTTTGGAGGCGGATTCACCTTGCACGTAGAAGCTTACTAGGAAGAGTAGAACATGCCGAAGAGATCGCGCGGTTCGGCGAATCTGTTTGCACAGACCTGCGAGGCGTGTTATGGCTACTTCGACACCACGCAAGGCCTAATGGCTCACCAGTCAACCAGCCGCCAATGCCGCTGGTACAAGAAAGGAAAGCTGAGGGAAATCTTCGTGGATTCTAAGGACTCTAGCAGCGAGGATGAAGCGGTGGTGGATGCAAAGAAGAAACGCGGTGCAAAAGGGAAGGCGCGTGCTGATTGTAGGTGAGTACATACCTAACTTTGCCTTATAGAAGTGTTGCTGACCTTTTGAGAGGCATACACGCTCACCTACTCCTGCAGCAAGCACGTCTAGTGGTATAGCTCAGGACGGCGCACGAACGGACGAGACCGCCGGACCGTCATTTGTTCGCTCCCACACAGCGTTCGAGCGAGAAGATCGGGACGAGGACGAGGACGAGGAAGAGGACGAGGAAGAGGGCGAATACTAGGACGAGGACGAAGCGCAAGACCTCATCTTCGTGCCTACCGCCGGGCCGAGTCGCGCTGCAAGAACAGCAGAGTCCTCGTCAGCACCAGTGCGACGCACAGCCATTGCGTTGGATGACGAGGACGACACTCGAGTTGAGGTTGTAGACGAGAAGGCAGGGAGGGTAACTGGAGAGAGAGAGACCGTTCAAGAAGCTTGGCGCCGTCATCTCGCAAAGAGGAAAGAGAACCAGATGCAAAGAGACACAGGTGAGTACATAAAGAGATTGAGCTGCCGTATAAATACTGATTTGCTTACCTTAGACGAAGACGAGTCTCCTAGACCATTATGGGAGCCGTTCGAATCCGAAACGGACTGGGAAATTGCCTCCTGGTGTATCAAAGAGGGTATCAGTCAAGGTGCGGTGGATAGGTTTCTCAAAATACCTAAGGTGTGTGCGTTAGTGAATTGCAGGGGTAAACCCCCGGATACTTGGGCGCCTACCCGTACCCGTACCCGCGAGGGTCAGTGACCCGCACCGAGGGTACGGGTCTATGGCGGGTCACGCGGGTTCATCGCGGGTACAGGGTTCGTGGCGGGTACTTCGAGCAATTGCATTCGTCATTCAATACAAGTACACTGATCACAAGGTATCTCTCGTACTACACATGTCATGACTCATTCTTCGTGATACTCTCCCCATACCTCTGAAGGATCCTCGTCTTCATCGCGCGAAGGGTCCTCGATAGTGACAGCCATAATATCCTCGTCCTCGACGAAGCCCAACAGACTCCAGTTGTTGAGGCACAGCAGTGCACGAATCGAAGCCGCTGAGAGCCCATTGCGAAGATGAGAAAGAATGATGCGGCCTTTGCTGAACAGTCGTTCGACTGCAACAGAGGTGGCTGCAATACCACCATCAGTCACGTTCGAGTCAATCGTACACATGAGATCACTTACGCGGGATCGTAAGATAACAAACTGCCATGCGCGACAGGTTTGGGTAATTCTTTCGCACCTTCTCCGAGGTCCACCACTTTAGTACATTTTTGATCTTCGGTGCAGGACCACTGCTGAGGTAGTGTTCAAGCTCGTGCCCAATCGGCTCACTTGGCTCCTGGCGACTGGCACGGGCAACATCAAACATGTTTTGCTTCTTCTTCTTCGACGGTTTAGCAGTCTGCTGAGCATGGAATTCGTCAATTGGATTGCAAAGCTCGTACTGATGACGGCATACCTCGGGTGACTCGGCACTTTCTTGGTGGTCCGAGTCTGGTGCTGGCCATCGCCCCACCCACTCGTCATCGTAAGTCCGCCGTAGCAGCGAGCGGGCCTCTGTGATCCATTCGTCAGGCCAATCATTGTCATAGAAATACTTGAACTTGTAGCGCGGGTCGAGAACTAAGTAGTCCAGATGCCACATTACTGAGTGGAACTTGACCGTTTCGAACGGTCCACCCGGAGTGCATTTGGCCCGTTTCTAACGGTGTACCCGGGCTCGGCCGGAGCACTCCGGGTCTACCGTTTGGAGCGGCCGCCGCCAGCAACGAACCGGCCGGAGGGAGGGTGGTGGTTTGGAATGGTCCGGCCGGAGTGTTGGGTAACGTTCCGGCCGGAGCTCTGGTGAACGTACCGGCCGGAGGCCTTGAGAAATATGGGTTTCCTACGGTCCGGCCAGACTGTTATCCAACATCCCGGCCGGAGCTCTGGTCAACGGTCCGGCCGGAGGCCTCGAAAGATTTAGGCTTCCTACGGTCCGGCTGGACACATACCCAACGTTTCGGCCGGACCTTTGATCAGTGTCCCAGCCGGAGGCCTCGAAAATTTGGGCTCTCAACGGTCCAGCCGGAGCACTCAGCAATGGTCTGGCCGGAGCACTCAGCAATGGTCCGGCCGGCGCACTCAGCAATGATCCGGCTGGAGGCCTCCAAAGATTTGGATTCTCAATGTTCCGGCCGGGACCGGGGGTTGGTTTCTAACCTTCCGGCCAGACCCCAGATGAAACAGTCCGGCCGGGCAAAATTCCACCTTCCAAACATCCGGCCGGAAGCCTTGCGGAATCTGGGCTGTAAACAATCCGGCCGGGCTAGTTTGTAATCATCCAGCCAGCCGGACCCCAGATGAACAGACCGGCCGGGCTTCTCCAAAACCAGCCAGACCCCTCAGAATTGATCTGCCGGTGATATAACAACAAGAATTGTTAACCCCCAAGCTCAGCTGGAAAATGACCAAGGTTGTATCAACCAAGCTCAATATTTAACCACCCACCGAGCTCAGAGTTGAACCACCGAGCCCAGAGATGAGCCACCAAGCTCGGTATCAAACCACCGAGCTCAGTAGTGAGCCACTGAGCACAGTATTGAACCACCGAGGTTAAACAGCTAGGCTCGGTGGCCGAGAGAAAAATTGGCCGGGCTCGGCGCCGAGGATAAATGGCCGAGGCTCGGGCCGAGGTTTCGAGCGCCGAGCTCGGTGAAAACCGCCGAGGTCAGTATCAAAGCATTGAGCTCAGTGTTAAGGGGCCCAGTTAAAGGGCCGAGCTGAGTGTTCAATGACCGAGTTTGTTGTTGAAGCACTGAGCTCGGAAATGGCCGAGGTTAAACCACCGAGCTCGGTGAAAAACAGCCGGGCCGTCAGATTGCCATATAAGGAAATTTGGTATCATCTGGTAGCCCTTCATTCACAGAGTACAGTATATGTTCCCTAGTGTACAGAGATGCCTAGTTAGGTCAGAGAATACAAAATAAAAAATGCTCACAGGCTTCTCTGAGAACGTACTATTCAACTCCTGAGGCCAGTTTTCTTTTCCCACAATGTTTGACTATCTAGAATGTGCTATTTCAATGCACAGACTACATCCCCAACAGGAATAGTCTTATTCTTTGAAGCTGAATGCAGGACAGGAGATAAGGGGCATACATGTTGGATAATGATGTTCACTCCCTGCAGCCAACATTCTTTCCAAATAGTGTTTGACTATCTAGAATGATTCATTTCCTCACAATGAGTGAGTCCTCCAAAGGAATAGTCTTATTCACACAAGCTGAATGCAGTACAGAGTTAAGGGAATCTGGTCTCATATGAGTATCACTCAATTTGAACAATGCTGATCATCACTTCTGTATCCATGCATGATATAGCTGAAGAGTCTATACATTGGACAGATGTGTCGCATTTTGCTCTGGCTGGCCTAGGACAGTGCACCGGCCGGACCGTTTGCTACGCATCAGGAAAAACCCATTTTCCTTATTCATACTTTCGCCAACTTTACTTTACTTCAGGTATCATCTCAACCGTTTACTTCACCATGATGTACTAAATGCATAAATATGTACCTCCAAGATGAATGAAGTTTGCTTGAAAGGAAATCCAAGAGCGTTAGCTCAGTCTGAAGTGAGCTGAAGCAACGATGCCTGAGATCAATTTCAATAAGAAGTAAGATGTACATAAATCACTAAGTCTCTACTGAAGTATAGTACAGAGCTAAAACCACCCCAGTTACTCGTACATATTCGCCACTATACAGATCCATGAGTGATAATGACAATACAAACAAGACACATACTAGCAATCTATTCACATTTGCGTAGGTACGTCTTGAAGATCGACGCGAATGCATGTGGATCAAGATCACAAGGATCGCGCCCATGCTTGCTCCCCACGTGAAGAGGACACCGAGGACGACTGCGAGATCATGGATGCTCCGCTCGAGGGACCACTCAACATACCGAACCCACCCCACGCGCCCCAACGCATTCCACCGCCCGCTTCCCCAAGCCCATGGCGATGCCTGCAATAGGTGCGAAGCCACCCTTCATACTCACCGCGGTTTGGCGCAGGTTGCTCGGCTGCTTCAACGGTGGTGGGAGGCCCCTGTTGGGATTGGCCTGCGTCGGTGTGTTGCCAGTCGATGTCGACATCCAGGGGACGAGCCGGCCCCGGATGTTGCTTCCTGTACTCAGCTGCGCGCCTGCGGTGTTGAAAGGTGCGATGTAGCTGCTAGCGGCAGCGTGGGGTTATCGCGCGAAGTCGTCGTCGCAAGGGATGAGCTGGGAGGCCTGGTACTCGCACTTTAAGCATGCAACCCAAGGCCGGAGGGTGTACGTCCGGGGAGTGCGGCAATGGGCTCTACTACGCTAGACCGATGGCCAGGTCCGACGTTCAAGGACATCGACCGTCGAATTCGCGGCTTGATCGAGCCCGATGGCGACCTTGATAGTCGCGGCTTCGGGGTGCCCCTTGTCGACGTGCACCTCATCAGTCCTTCATCATCGACAAGCGGTCGACGTAGTTCGTCGGCTCGCCCAGGCAGATGACGTGCGGGCGACGCCACATTGCAGCGCCGAGCACAACCTTCACCATCAGACCACCGGAGAGACCGCACATCGAGTTGTGCGACACGAACTCGGCCTCGAGACCGAAGTCCGCGGAGTGCTTCTCGATCTCGCGACGAACGAAGGGGGGAGCAGACCGAGGTGCTGCGCCTCACGGGTGTCGACCTCGAGGACCTTCTTCTCGAAGCCACGCTTGATCAGCTCGTCACGCGGCAGCCAGATGTTCTCTGACGAGGAGAGGGCCTTGAGCGACGCCTCGTACTCGTACGACTGCTTGAGCTTCTTGCGCGCCACGATCTCGTCAATCAAGCGCTTCTGGCCCTCGACGACGACGACAGTGCCCTCCTTCATCTTCTGCTGCTCCTCTTTTGAAATCTGTCGATTCGCCTTCATCATCTCCTCCAAGTCCTCACCGTAACGCCACAGCATGTACTCCAGCGGCGTCTTGTCGAAATGATTATCGAGATGGTGGAAAGCGTGCTGCGCGACGTAGCCGATGACCAAGTTCGGGTGCTTCCAGGTCTCACCGCCTCTGTTGGGCTCGAGATCGCCAATGAGCAACTTGACGAGCGTCGACTTGCCGGATCCGTTGGGACCGAGGACGGCGACACGAGAAGAGAGCGAGACTTGGAGCGTGATGTCGTACAGCTGCTGTACGGGCTGCGTCGGGTACTGGGTAGCCGACCTTGCGCATCTTGAGAAGCGACTTCTCCTTGGTCTTGACACCCTCGAGAAGGGGCGGGTCGGGCAGCTTGAACTGGTAGTCCTCCTGCGCCTCGAGCGTGTAGTACGAGCGCGCCTCAGGAACCTGCTTCATGAAGGACTCAAGGTTGCCCCTGTACCTCCTGAGCTTGAAGCGGTTGAGATGGAGGACGTCGGTGATGGTGTTGTTGAGGAAGCCAGAGTCGTGCGAGACGATGATGGACGTGCAAGTCGTAAGGCCGGTGAGGTAGTTCTCGAGCCACGCGACGTTGACAACGTCCAAGTGGTTAGTTGGCTCATCGAGGAGCAGAATGTCAGCCTTGAACAACATCGCGCGCGCGAGAGCGAGCTTCATCTTCCAGCCACCAGACAGACTGCCAATCGCCTGCTTCTGCCTCTCGTCGCTGAAGCCTACGGACGCGAGCGTCTCGATAACCTCCTGCTCGCCAGCCTGGATACGTGTGTCGGAAAGGATGAATTCGAGGATGGCCGTCTCGGCCTCGCTACCGTCGATATCGTGCTCGACGTAGAAGGTTCGGACCTCATCCGGCGACGGGAAGCCCTCAACTTGGCTGTAAAGCGAGAATAAGCAACGTCAACGTATCGCGAGGCAATGAACCCACCCGTTGGTGATGGCACGCATGAGAGTGGACTTGCCGGTACCATTGCGACCGCACAGACCATAGCGGTGACCACGCTTGAGACGGAGAGTCGCAGTGTTCAGCAGGATCTTAGCACCGTAGGCGAGCGAGAATTGGCAGTTGCAAAGATCCTCGCCCTCCTCCTCATCCTCAGGGACTTCGGTGTCCTCATCCTCCAGAGATGCAGACTTGACAACCCACTCGTTGACGATCACGATGGGCTCAGGCGTCGTCGTGACGAACGCGAGGTAAGGCGCAAGCGATTGCCACTCCGACACGTCGAAGTTCTTCGCGTTGACGGGGTTGGCAGCAAGGTTGCTGGCGTACATGACGTCGATGGAGCCCGCAGAAGGGGCCTCAGCGCCAGCCTTCTTGTAGAGACCGAGGAGGGAATGCGCGAGCTGCTTCTCGTCCGCCTTCTTCAAGGGCGGGAAATCAGAACCGTCGTTGTCGGCGGGGACGTCACCGACTTGACGGAGGGTGGCGACAGCACGGCCAACGACGCTGCGAGCCTCGCGGTCACCGATGGTCGTCTCGACTTTAAGAAGTCCCGGGAGCAGCTTCGGGATGAAGGGACGAACGGTGACAGCGGAGTCTACGAGCTTAGCCATGTTGTCGATGATTCTACAGATACCATTAGCGATGCGGACAACGTGATCGGGTGGGTTCAAACGTACACGGCGACCCTGCGCTTAGTAGCAGTAGGCTTCTCACTAAGACCGCGAGAAAGCAGAGGGACCATGAGTGAGAGCGTAGCGGAGTCTACCTCCGAAACGAATGTGGTGGCCGAGAGGAGGTTGATGGTCTTGGGAACCTCCTCAACGGGGTTGATCAGAGCCTTGATGAGTGCAGGAATGAAGCGTTCTATATCCTTGTTGGAAACTAGAGCCGTGGCCCTCTCAAGCGAATCCTTCGCAGCCTTCTTCACGTCAGCCTTCGTGTCCCAGATCGCCTCAGCGAGGATGGGGACGATCTCTGGGGTGAGACGCGCAGTCTGAAGAGGCGCGCTTGTAACAAGCTGGTTGAGGACAGTGAGCGAGCCGGTCTTGACCTGCCACTTGCCGACCGTCTTGATCTAGTGAAGAAGGGCGGGAAGCACAAGCGCTGCACCCCAAGTGTTCATACCCACAACGTACGCCTTCACTGCCTCGATGGCGGCCGTGCGCACAGCGGGCATCTTGTCGGCGAAGCATTCGAGCAGAGCAGCGTAGAGTCCGGAGTCAATGAAAAGGGGCTCGAGAGCCTTCACAGCGTCGGACTTGGTGATCACAGCGACGGCGTTCGCTGCACCCTCACGCGCCGCGGGCGACTTCTTGTCGCTGAGGGCCTTGATAGCAGCATCGTTGAAGCCGACAGACTGGAGGGCCTTGGGGCCATCCTTTTGGGCGAGCGCAGCGAGGGTCGTTGCTGCGGACTCGTGGGTCGCCTTGTCGGCGACGAAGAGACCGGAATCATCAAACTGGCCGTCTGCGGGTGCGACGGCAGCCTTGAGAGAGCTGGGGGCGGAGGTAGCGAGGCACTGTCGTCGTCCGGGTGATCGCCCGGACCTTCCTCAACGACGTTGAATTCGGAGTCCGTGATGAGCGCACTGAGACGTTTATTCACCGGAACGATGGTATGACCCGAATGACTGGATTCAGCCAAAGGAACCGGTCACCGGTTACCGCCCAATGCGCCGGGACGGATCGTGATATGCAAGGTCATGGTGGCATCGCTTTTCCTCCAGTCCTCCTTCAGTTGCTCGCGATTCTCCTGCGCCGGTGTTATCGAAGCGAATACCGGATCATTGTGTCTCCTTTGGCAAAGCCGCTAGGGGCGTATTCGCATCATGTTTCGGCGATCACAGTGATGTTCGAGGAGTTGTGAGAGGCGCGGCGGCGGTGGTGGCGCGCCGCTGAACTTCTGGGCCTTGAGTAACTGGCCACTAGTGGTCTTTTGCTTGATCGACAACGCATTGGTGAACGCACAGGCGGAAGGTCCGGTTCGCGAGCTCCGCATCACCGTATCCGTACACTAGGCACGGCATGTGCTACCTTGTATGTATGTCAGGTCGCCCACCATAACACCTGCCTCAACGGAGTTAGTTTCCAGTGTCAATGTCAGGTCAGATGGAGAACACATACATCGATTACGTAGCCAGCGTACTCGCCGACTGCACCACCTGCCTCACACACTGCGACGCTGAGGTCGCTAGGTCGTCAGCCTGGATGTTCCGCTCGCCGGCCTTGGGAAACTGCGTGCTGGCAGTCAGGATCGTGCGGTACTCCACCGAGCGCGCAGCGCTGATCCACCTGTGCGCCTTCTCCGCGCCGTCTCGGGACGTCCGGATGACCGCTTCGGCTTGCAATGCATGCGCCCGGAGGACGAACGTGTGGAGGTGCAAGACAGTGATGGTCGAGCGCTGCGCAGAACGGAACGTGGGTGGCCAGTGCGAGCTGCATGAGTGGTACTTATCCAGGAGAGTCCATATTGACGCATCGCCACCCTGCTTGTGCACGCATAACCGCGAAGCGGGAATGATCGCTCGGCGGAGCAACCACTCGTCCCACCGCCAGAGCTCGCCGTACCGCCTGCACAAGGTCGCCCCCGTGTACGCGTTCGACAAGAAGAGGGCAGACATGTAAAGGGGGTGTCTGCTATCAAGGGGAGGTGCGATCGAGTAGATGTCGAGGGCCTGTTGCGGGTCATCCGGTGTGATGCATCCGTGCGATATGCATCACTGACAGTGAGAGCATGGGTAAGGCGGGGAACGATGAGACTTCGAGCGTTATCGAAGAGGGTCCACGGTCTTGCTCGTCCCGTAGACTCTGCACTTCCGCCAAAGCACCAAGACCCTCCGAAGGGCTTCTGAGAGCATACAAGTAAACTTGATCGACTTCAGTGAACATACGTGAGTTGGCATTATACATGATGCACCCGAGGGACTCACATCAGAGTTCAAGTTAGCCGTCTCCAGATTCTTCAGGGCAACGTATTCCGCTGTAGTCACCGCGGGCAGTCAGTCAGCGGGTGAGTCAATCGATGGGTGAGTCGGCAGGTGAAAGGGTCGTTATACGAGGGAGTCGGGATACGAGGGAGTCGGTCGGCGAGTGAGTCGGTGGACGGTGAAGACTGCTCGAAATGTTTTGGCTCGAATTTGAAGATCGTCCTGCGTGACTTGGGGCAGAGATGCGTGCGTAGCGGCCGAGTGGGCGGGGAGACAGCGAGGCAGGTGGTCGGACGCGGTCAGACGAGTAAGCGGGGAGAAGAGGGAAAACGACTGAGTGGGCCGGTGAAAGAGAAAGCAGATGGGCGAGAGCGCGAGTGAATGGTCGGATAACAAGCAGGTCGGCGGGTACGGGCAGGAATGCAGGCAGGTAGGATGGCGTCGAGACGGCGGCAGACTCGATGGTGGTCGAGGACTGAGTACTGGCCCTGAGTCCTGAGGCCTGAAGTGCGAAGCGCTCAGTCCAGAGAACGCTGATTGTGATCGACTCAAATAATGACGACACAACAGGCTGTTACTGCCCATACCCTGCTCCGCTACTAAATGGTGAGGGTGCTTCAAAGCAGTCTGAAAATTTGTATTATAATTATACGGGTGATGGAAGTAGTACCTAGTGTCGCGGTCTGAAGGTCAATGAAGCATCGTCAACGAAGCTGTTGAGCCGTTAAGAGCTATTCAGACACCGTGACCATTGTATTCTACTACGAAGTTACTAGTCTACCACAGCGTCTGATACGCGTACTTCGATGCCCAATTATTAAGCCAAAACTTTGCAGCCTTATCTAGTACAGTATGAGTGTCCCAGTCTTCAGGTACATTCTCGCGAATCATTGCGCGAGTCGATCCAGGTGTGCAGGGAGCAAGCTGACATGATTGTCGAATTATCGACAAAGGAATGATGGCACCAACAGGTTTTCCGTTCGCGCGAAGGGGAGGCTTGTGGACAGGGTACATCAAATGAATGGGATCTGCTTGGGCTGGTAATTTTGCGAACCATTCTACATACGCCAGAGGCCCCTGGCTAGCCCACTCGGGAGGAGCTGGTAGCTGACGGAGAGTTCGGGGATCTTTGATGTCGTGCGGCAGCTTAAAGATTACCTTGACGCGCCCAATACGGGTACCTATAGACAGTGATCATATCAGGAATCTGTGAGGAGTGTAGTAGAGAAGACGATACGCACCTTGCAAGCCGGTAGCTTCGGCATCCTCTCCCTGCAGCACAACTACCGTGTCGAAACGCGCTGCTTGTCCGGCAGTGGCGGGCTTCGCTTTCACCGCGTCAGTTTCCATCGCATCGTCGGTCAGCGGCTCGGGGGTGAATTTGAATCCATGGAATACATCGAGGCGATTGATCGGCATGTGGGTGACAGCACTCCGGAGCTGTGAGGACGAGAGAGGGTGCCCGTTTTGAGAGTATAGATGTGCTGAGCAAGTGCGTCGATGAAGCCCGGTGCGCAGTGTTTGTTGACGATGGATGGGAGAGTCTGGAGAGGTGCCGTAGGGTGTTTGGGTAGTTTGATTCGAGCGTTGATTCGTGACGACGTAGGTATTCGGTCTGGTTCAGAGTTCCCTGCGTCACTGTCATCCCCTGGCTCCCGATCGGCACTCCTGAGCGATCGGTGGATGGTCGAGCTGAGCACGACCATCTTCTCCTGTCGTGCCAGCCAACGAACCATTTGCGGACGTGCATCGCGATGGTTTGACGCCCTCCAGCCTTTCTTCGCGTAGTCGATGTGAAGGCGTTCAAACGCCTCAGTATTGTAGTTATCGGTAGTGCCTAAAAGTCGAATGGCGTCGACGTAGTGGAGTAACGAGTGAAACTTCGGGATGTTGAGGTGCTCGCGCACTCCCAGGTCGACCAGGATGTCTTTATTGCGATGGAATATCTTGAGTGCGTCCTCCATGTACTGGAGAGTGGTGTCGTCATGAGTAGTATATTGCGCGAGGTAGATAAAATCGAGTATAGACCTGAAAGCAAGGATAGCCTTGCTGGGTATCAGGCCTACCAGACACGCGAGGAGAATCCTCGCCATATGCTTGCGTTCGGTCCCTGAGACTTGAGACAGAGAGGAAATGCCGTTTTTGAAGTGGCGAGTACCGAATGCCGGAGGAAGGCAGCGAATGCGTCTGTCGAGCTCGTGTTCATCGACGAGTTCGGTACACCATTCGACGATGTGCTTGAAAACTCCCTGGTAGAGTTGATGGAGGACGTCAGGGGTAATACACAAATGGATATCCGTGTAGGGTAGATCGCGCCAGAACGGACGCACGACATATCCCGACACGTTGAGGTCTTGACACGCTCGGGTGTACGCATTAGAGCTCGTCTTGCCTTGGGTTTTCTCGCTGGCTTGACGGAGAACATCCAAGGTCCAGATGGAAGTACGAGGTGTACCTGGCTTCGCAGATTCCAGCAGCTGCTCTGGTGCCTGGCACTTAGGGCATGTCCCAGACTTGGCGCAAGTGACCAGGCACTGCTCTGGATAGTCGGCTACATAGGCGGCGAGGATCGGATGTACGCGTCGAACCTCTCCATTGCCTGAGGTGACTTCGATACCTTCCTTCCCGGCCTGGACGAGCGGTTCCAAGATCGCGCGCACGGACCGTGGAAGAGTTGCTGAACGAGAGCGCGTTGCTTGCGCTGAGTGATGCCTTCGGAGCTAACCTTATCGACAGATAGATAACCTATGAGAATACATGCGTGCTCAGACGGCTTGCCCTCAGAGCACGCGGTATGTTGCCTAGCGTCATGTAGACCGGGTAGGCAGCCTTGTTTCCCGAGAATTGTGTTAACTGAGTTTTGTCCGTCGCGATAATGACGGGCGCAACTGCTGAGCCTACAGGTAAGATGCTCTGCAATTGGTTCAGATATTTGCAAGGATTGATTGATATTTGATTACTCACTTGAATGGCATGCCACCAACGCCCTGTCCACATCTCGTTGTAGAGACGGTGCGTCCTCGACTTGTCTGAGAATATACGCCGCGGTCTGTACACGATTTGATCCGCGTGTTCAGGGTTTCCCAACAAGGTGCGAATGGCCTGGATTATGTCGCGGAACTGAACAAGGTGCTTCTCGTTAGGACGGTCCCTGAACGATAGCAACCTTTCCGTCCATTCTGCCCTCTCGGGCAGCGAATCCACGCACTGTAAGAGAGCACGGCTGTTGTGATACGACAGGCCGAGTCTCTCTTGGAACTGAGGTGCGTCAGCATATATGAGTAACATCGTCAGGGAAGCCCAGGTACTCACACCGGGTATTTCTAACGCTCTGTCGATGGAACCCTGCGTCAGTCCTTCCTGGATTGCCCAAGACGCGAATCGCCAATCCATCTCTGACTGAAATGGCTCCCATGGGTTCTTTCCGTCACTGTTTGTCGCGTCTTCTGTGCTCCTCTCTCCTGCAGTCGGACCCGCTAATCACAAGTTTACATTCGGAACGCATTTGCTAAGTGAGTGTCAATGATCACTTACTTGAACTTCGACCTTCCTTGCCCTCCAGCCATCTCCTGCGCACGTCTTCGTCAACTTGAGTAACCTCTCCGGCTTCTGTATCTTCGTCTACCACACGCTCGTCGTCATCGTCATCGAGCGAGAGCGCGGTTCGTCTTGCATAAGTCGATGGCCCTGCTGCGTCACCGCCTGTGTTGCGACCGCCTTCGCCATGTCCACCTCCACCCTCACCATCATCTCCGGTCCCTCCTGGATCGTTCGGCGGCTTGGACGGTGCGCACACATCTATAAAGTCGTATAGTGACGATAATTCGTCGTCCTCGTCTTCATCGTCCTCATCTGCATCCTCTTCGGGTGATAGATTTGCAACGGGTTCTGGCTCGTCGCCAGAATGTTCGCGTCTACCCGACAGTTCGTTGGTTCTGAACGCACATTGTGAATTAATTGATCAAACCTCAGAGGCGGTTTTAATGCTTACCCTGCAGGCTCAATTATTACACCGTCGTTCAAAGACTCCTGACGGCCCTGGACCTCGAAGATCTCCTTGAGTTTTCCTTTCTTGTACCATGAGCATTTCTTGCTCATGGTTTGGTGCGCGCACAGGCCCTGACTTGTCCGAAAAGTCTCGTGACAAGCGCCGCACGTATCATTGAGGAGTTCTTCGATGGTGCGCTTTTTTCTGACCATTGCTAGCTCGAAAAATCACCCAGATCTCAGAACCAAGAAGCGGAGGAGTAGGAACGTACAGGTAATGGGGAGGAAGAGGCCAGGTATGTTGCAGAGTCCCGAAATCATTTGAGAAAATGGATTTGTCCCTTCATCTGTCATTACGTTGCGTGGGCGCGTACCTGCGCGCCATTCAGACGCGATCTCCTTCGCGTCTCTCCTTCATCTTCAACTGTCATGTCGGTTTAAGGCTCGGGCATTGGTAAAAAATCATGTTCCTGCCTTCTTCTTCCTGAGCCCTTGCTGATCCTATTTCACGTTCGTATAGGTCACGCGTTCACAAACAATTGTAGACGCTTAATCAACCACCGACCGTAAATTGCGCTCGTCTTCTAAGGTATGTACTTGTTCATTGGCCTCTGGTTACTAGTACGTACTTCATCTATACCTACCCGCGAGCTGTGGCGTGTAACATGCCGAAATGTCCCACGCCACAGTCCCTGTTACCCCTGGTTGCCAGCTCCGGCATAGGCCGGGGCGAATAGAGCGGATTAATGGCGGCCGTAGAAGGTGTACGGCGGCCGCAATGCTGGGATATCGTTGTTCGAAAGGTCCTATGAGCGAGGGAATGAACGCGACGATCTCACACCCAGGGGAGACGGTGGATTACCATGGGCCACTGCAGCTAAGGCGGAGTGTGAGTGGAGAGGCGTAGGCGGTGCTGGAACCTACCCGGGCTTAGTCACTTGACGATATAGACCCCTTGACTGAGCACGGCGGCCGTCCCCGGTTCTTTAGAATGTCTTCTGCCTCTGGTTCTAAGCCGTGAACTAAGATGTCTACCACCTCTCTCCTTCGCTCTGCTGCTACGCAGTCTGCTCGCTCACCCCGCCCCGGTCATCCTCGCAGTCGTGTCAATTCCAACGGCTTGAAGGGGGATCACATCGAATCGGACTCCCAGCAGCGAAAGCCCAACAGCCCGGGAGGTGAGGCCCTATATACTCTTATCGTGCTTTCGTAGACACTGACATCGCAATCGAGTTGGCCAATCCGGTCGTAAAGATCGCCACCAAGCTAGGGAACCCAACGAGGTCAAGAAACCTAAAGCCACTGAACAGGGTAAGTAACAAATCCATGTCTTGTAATGCGCACAGCAGCCCTCTAATATTTAGTATAACAGAAACAGAGATCCAACAGATCGCCGCCGGCCAGTCCGACCCTGCTGAGGCAGGTAAGCGTGACATGCTTGTACCATCCGCCAATCCGCCTCACTGCGCACTAGTCACCAACGAGACCGACGGCGAAGACGAGTACCCCGAGGCTGTTCGGAAGGCCTTCGGAGACAAGTACCACAATCTCCCGCACGTCACTGGGGAGATCGTAAGTATGTCTGTGCTTTTCATATTCCAGCGACTGACCTTCGCGTATTCAGCAGATCTCTGGTTTCACACGCGACGATTGGACGGCGTTGCAGCAGTGGATCGAGAAGCACGACGATCTCAATCGTTTCAAGTGAGTATATTCACGCGTCTCAGTGGAGATTCTATTGAACTTAGCGATCGCAGATTTTGTTATGACAGCGAGCAGGGGAAATTAACAACGATGTCTGCTAGCGATATACACAACCGTCTCTGTGCTACAGAGAGGTCGATCAGCAACGACAGGTGGTACCGCGGCTTTTGTCCTCCCGGGTGGGTCGAACATGCGCTAGGTGTCTCAGACGAACAGGCGGAGTACGCGTCGATTCGTAACCCGAGCGGCTCGAAGAAGATTGCAGATATGGTCGAGGCGATCTTAGTCGGCGATAAGCTGTACGTCACCCAACTGAACGAATCGGCCAAGTCGCAGGAGCTTCATCATACCAAGGGAAAGGAAGGCGCGCTTCCTAAGGTACGTTCCAACTGCGCATCAGAGTTCAACAGGTTCACTCAAGCTTTTGAGCAGCTCGTGGATTTGGGGGATGCACTAATCGGAACTCGCAAGACAACGCCCGCCAACGGCGACGGGTCAGAGTTCCCCCCTTCATCGCCCTCACCTGCTTCAACATCGACGAGTTGGTCCCCAAAGGGGACGATGGCCTGAAGTCCAAATGGGAGTCGCCAGGCAGTGGTGCTTATACCGTCTCGTCGCTCGAGCTCGACAGGGAGCGGTACCGCACCCTGTCGGAGAAGCACGCTGGATTGATCTCGGACGCGGGTCCATGGCGCACAGCGAACGGCGCCGTATTTTTGGCGCCGTTCGAGTCTGGTGGTTTTATGTCCCATTCTCGGAGCTGGAAACGTTCAGGCAGGGAGTGAAGGAGCAGTGGGACATGGACAAATGGGTTGCCAAGGGTTTAGCCATCGTAAGCGACCGTCACCTGCCCGTCAAGCATCCACATACTAACTATTGTGCCCAGCCCATTCTCGAATCGTACGAAGGGCAGCTCAAGGAACAGCTCCGCGTCTTCTTGAAGAAGGTCGAGGACGGCTACAAACTGAAGCTGTCCATGGTGGTGAACCTGCTGGGCTTACCGGAGAACGCGCGGAAGTTGGCGGAGGCCCTCGGCGACATCGTCGATGACGATGAACTCAACGCCCGCTCCGCAGAGTTCGATGAATTCGTTGACAAATTGCTCGATCCGCAAGACAAGCACTTACGCCTTCCGGGCGAAGACGTATTATTCGACGCCCATATTACTCAGCTCCTCAAAGCTATCAAGGCGGGTACGAGAGGTACCGCCGTCCAACGCCTGGTCGACAACACGACGGTGGAAAACCAAGCAGAAGGCGCCGTGCAAGGGGGACGTGCTGCACCCAACCCCAAGTTCCAGCCGAATAATGCCCTCCGGGAGCAGTTGAAGTCCATTAGCCAGATGGCACGCAAGCGCAAGCGTTCCGACACCGTCGAGGCAGAGCTGGAGGAAGATCGTGGCCGCGACGGTCCGAGTTCCTCTCGCCAGCAGTGACCTTGCACGCTTGACAACGACTAAAAACGTCGCACATTGTCACGTCTCGCTGTTGTACGTCTCGCTGTTGTGTGTCCCGCATCACGGCCGTGGCCCTTCTATCGTACATTCGTCCCCGTTGTGTCGTCATCTGATTGTAGTGCTGTACGAGTATGTGTACCCTCTGTTGATCGTCTCTACCAACGCTGTCATAACTATGTCTCATCGCTATCTCTTCGCTGTTCGCTGATTGTCGTAGCTTGTACTACTATTGTCGTCGTAGCTTGTACTGTAGTCGCAGCCTGCACTGTCGCCGTCTCATGGAATACATATCTGATGCAACGTTGACATCACGCACGACTGGCTGTGGTGTGCGCGTGCTGATGCATCGACCTTTGCCTGCATCGTAGTTGCCGGTGAAGCTGGCTCAAGGGGCAAATATTCATTTATACAGGCTACGTACATACAGTGAACAAGTAGAATGAATGCGATCGTGTAGTGCGCTTGCGCCTGCTACTGTACGGTAGACCCGTACGCGTCGCGAGCGAATGACCGGTGTATGCCGGGATGGTTGTTTCACGTCGTATGTCCTCCTCGGCAGGCTAGGTCGCGCCGTTCTTGGGAATCGACGTGTGGCGCGCGGGCGATCGTACCTGCTCATCCACACGGCGCTGCTAGTGCTGCTAGTTCGCCAACTCGCTCGGTCACCCGCCCGGCCCTACTCAGCCATCCATCCCGTCTGTCTGGCCTAGTGATGCACGAGCTTGCAAGCTCTCGGTAACTTAGCTGTTTCCATTCTTGGTTATAACCGCCAGAAGTGAGGCTTATTTCGCATATTTGTCAGCTAAAATCAATGTTTTTGGCTAGTAAGCATGGTTCTCAGGGCCCGAGAGTTGGCTTGTCAGTCGTCCCCGGCATACAAAAAGCCATTCAAATGTTATTTATGTTGTGCATTAGTCCCAGTATAGCTAGATAGAACAGTACTAAGTGTTGTCATTGCTGCGCTGCGGGACCCATGCCACGGCCTTGATCTCCTTGACCTGCTTGTTGTCTGGGAGAGACGCCGTACAAGAATGCAGCGACCTGGGTGCGCAGTCGGCAGCGGTGACAAAGGCGCGAAGGATATTCTTCGGCAAGACGTAGGTGAACGATCCAGCATCGTCTCGGACGCCGTCGTTGGAGACGTAGATGTGCTGGGGACGAAGCGGTAGATGGGTAGCAGAAATTGCACGTACACGCCAGTCGGACTTGCTACTGAACACCTGCTGCTCGTAAGTTGTCGTAGTCAGTCTGGATAGCATCACCGTGAATGTTGGTTGTCTGCATCTGTACCACTGTGACTTGGCTCTGCGCCTCAGAGCTCTTCTCGAGCTCCGCCATCTGCTGCCGCTGTACAGACGGTGCTGCGATCTCCCGACCTAAGATGATGTCAAGAATTTTGCTGGCCGTGAGGGAGGCGATGTTCACACTGTTCTGCTTGCCGAGGTCGGCCAGATATAGGCTTAGTCGTCAAATTGCCCTCGAACGTCTTGTGGATCGTCTCACGGTATACGTTCTTCGTGTCGTCAACAAACCCTAAGGCGAGTGTGAGACACTGCTGTCGTAAATCATTCATGTGAGATTACACTTACAGGACGCGAATTTTGAACCCACAAATCGAGAACAAGAGCTGTGGGTTATCCTTAGAGAAAACGCTGACGAAAGTGTCTTCCCACCGGGGCAGACTCTGCTTGACATTCCAGAAGACCGCTCTGCCGAGGTTGACGTCGTGCTTGATCAGGCGCATACGACAGTCTCGAGGCCAACACCTCTTGTTGTTGTACCCGATGACGTTGTTGTTCGTCGGGTCAGGGTTCGCACTGAGATACCGCTGGATGAGGTCTCGCGACTCTTCGGCCGTGAAGCGGAACAAAATGTGGATGCGATCGACGTAACGCGAGTAGAGACGGATCGGATGACGCGTCTCGGTGGCGGAGTCGCGGTATTGCAGGAAGTTGTTCGGCATCTGCGGTGGTCCCGCCATCTCGCTGGCGCGTTGAAGACCCAGGATGAGCAGGTCGAGGACCAGGCCGTAGTACTGGAAGACGAAGGCTGAAAATTGGAGACCACGGATCAGACCGTAGGCGTTTGTATGCGCCATATCTATCGTGCAAGTCAATACTAGTTCGATGACAATAAACTGTTAATACTCACCCTTGTACGTCAAGACAGTGTTGTTCTTCGCCGTGATATAATCTGCCAAGTTATGGTCCAGAATGAGACGCAACAACCGGTTGAGCAGCGTCAAATCGATCTTCTCGTACACCTTGGACAGCACCGTCTCCATGAGCACATCGCATTCGCCCTCGCCCGTCTCCCAGATGTCGGTCAAGTTGTTGATGCCTTGGCACCACTTGTAGACGAGAAGCGGCGGCGGCTCAGTGTCGGCGGGTTTGATCCAGGAGGGGAACAGACCACGCTTGTCGGCCTCGAAGAACAGGAACTGATCGAGGTAGGCGTCCGTGATCTTCTCTACGGGCTCGATGTCGTAGCAAGGAATGAGTTTGTCGTAGGTGTCGAAGAACTTGATGCCAGATTCCTTGAATGCACGCTGTGTGAGCAGCAAACGCTTGATACGCGACAAGCATTCATGCGGGTTGTCGTACGCCTGCTCAATGAGCGCCAACTCCTCGCGTTGCGACTGGTTCAAGCGGCCCTTAACCGAATACGCCTCCTTGAGCTTCTCGAGCGCGAGCACCAAAAGCTTGGTGTCGTGCTTGTAGTTAAGCGGCGGGAAGGGGATGGGCGAGAACTTCCGGCTCTCGAGCCAGTGCACGGTGGCAGTATAGATGGCAACGGCCTCCTCAGCACTGATGTACGGACCGTCCTTGAGGTACCCGTGCTGTCTCTCCTGCTCAGCCTTGAGATACAGGCGAGTGAGACGACCGAGGTTCTTCTTGACGACGGCCTTGTCGACGGTCGCGCCACGCCGGATACGCTCACGATTGTAGTGAGCGACAGACGTCCACCAGTCGGCCTTGCTCTTGATATAACGAAGGATGATGTTTTCGATGGCCGTCGGCATTCCGGGCACCTTCCAAGGGACTGGATCCAACATCAGATACCTATCGCGAGTTCATGTCAAGCAGCAACTTACTGTTCGCCTTCCAGCAGCGCCAGGCCTCCGACAGATGCTGGAGGATGGTCTTCGACTTGTTCTGCTTGATCGACTCTGGCATCATGTCGAGGATGTCGTGCATGACCGCCGCACGAAGCTCAAGGTCATAGTGCGACTCGACACGCTGCTTCGTGACTGTCTTCGCGATGCCCTTGCTGTTACGACCCTCAAACTGACGCGCGAGCAGATTTCCAAGCCAGCGCTCGAGCAAAGGAACAATACCACGCATGAAGAATAGCCAGACACGCCAGCCGGGGGCCCAGAACCCGACACCAGGACCTTTGCCGACAGGACCGGTGTTGAAACGGTAGTAGATCAAGTGCTTGAGGTCCTTGGTCATTCGTACCTGACGCATCAACTAGAACGCACGCAAGGGGTCAGCATGAGAGATACTTGCCCTGAGATGGAGGAAGACTGACCTTGTACTTGTAACGGTACATACCCGTAAGGGCACCAATGTGCGCGAAGATGTACTGCAACGCATCCGCGAGCTGGAATGCATCGACGTTGCCGAGACGGAATTGGACGTGCGCGTCGACCACCAACTTCGTGAGACGAAGGATTTCACGGCAGAGATGGAAGGCATTGCCGAATCGCGACTTCTTACGCTCCTTGGTCGTGAGCGTCTTCACCGGCTTCAAGTTCATGTTGTAGTCGAGGTGGAGGTAGTTCAAGTTCTGATAAAGTGCGTCAGTGACCACGCTAACCATGCTTCCCGAGACAATGTACCTTTCGGTGGATGAGCAGGTTGAGCATGTTGTAGCCCTGCCTGCAGACCTACAAACCCGCCTCGACCCAGTCTAACCGCGTGGTCTGGAAAAACTTGGTCGCCTTCAGCTGTTTGAACAGGTTCTTCTTCGACATGGCCTTCTCCGGGCGTGTCTTGAGCTCGTTCAAGACGTAGCACTTAAGTAGCTTCTGATACGACACGCGAACCTTGACCGCCTGGTTAGGAGGGCAGTGCTCAAGATACCAGTCCTTCACGAGCGGGATATCCTGCGCTCGGCGCATACGCCCTGAGCGGCGACTGTACGGATCGGGCGCCCACCAGAGCGCGATAGCATCCGCCGTGAGATCGCTCTCCAGCGGCTTGTCCTCGAGGAAAGGCTCGACCTCGTCAGGGAGCTCGAAGTCGTCGTCCTCAGCATCGTTGGGGCCGAAGATCGCGTCCTCATGGGGAACGAGTGGCGCATTCTTCGGTGTAAAGCCACGCAGCGAGATAGGATTGATGAGAGGGTCGAAATAGAACGCGGGCAGGTCAGGGTCATCGGTGCGAATGTAGACGTTCTTCGGTGTGTGATACAGAGATATGTGGACGGAACGAGGGAGGGAGTTATACAGATGGGGGAAAGCGACCTTGTACTCAGTCCGGATTTGCTGTCGAATGATGACTTTGTTGATGTCGTTGAACTCGTTCCAGTCCTCATCGAAGCTGTCCATGTCTCTATACAGAGGCTCGAATTTCGGGCCGCCGGGAATCGCCATGTGAGCGCTTTCGCAGTGAAAACCGACTTCTTGTCGAACAGGTAGCTCGAGTTGCCGTCTGTGTGATCCGACAAGAGTGTCCGACCGAGACGGTACAAGTTCGCCATGGCAGGCGCGCCGCGAGGACAAACAGCTGGTGACTCAAGTTCCATGGCCAAAGCCGGTAGCAAAGCCGGACTGGCGAAATTCGTTCGGGAGGACGTGAGCAGCACCGTCTGTCTTCGAACGGGCAACCATGCTCACCTGACAGTAGCATCCCGGGCACCCAACCCGAGCCAACCACCATCCGCCCACGCACCCGCCCTCTCGCCCACGCCGCTCGCCGGACGGCGATTCGTCGTGCCTTCATCGGTCGAGGATGCCAGCCGGGTCGACCAGCAAACCACGAGAGGTGGTGAGTCCGGGAAGACGGGAGAAACGCACCGGATGCCGGCGTGGATCGAGGGCGGCGACCGTCGAGTCTGGAGCAGACCGGATGGGACACTTCGGACAGCTCCATCGGGAAGATAGAGAGCGGGAGACGAGTGATGAGCTCGGCAGGACGGGGAGTGACCGGGGTGTGGTCGAGGTCAGTACCGGGCGGGAGGAGATCCACGGGTGGAGGGATGCCGTTCGAGGCACATTTCGAGGGTGCCCGGATGCAAGTCGTCCTTGCCCATGTGGACCACGAGAGGACGCGATACACCGAGCTGCGAATGCAGGTGAGCAATACTGCTATGAACTGACTGAACAGGAAACAGGAGATATACTCACCTCCGAGCCTGTTACTTTCTCCCTCCCAAAATGTTGCGGCTGCAATTGCTAGCCGCTCTCGCACCGCGGCGGGTCGCTGAGCACGTCTGCGATTGAGCGTGCGTAGGGCGCGGTTGAGCGTGCGTAGGGCGCGGTTGAGCGTACGTAGGGCGCGGTTGAGCGTGCGCCGGGCACGGTCTGCGTCGTTCGCGGATAGCGGCGACAAAGGGATGCGAGGACGCACACGAGGCAACGGGATCACGTTGCAGACGAGGACGTTTGAGGTAGCAGCGGAGGCGATGATCTCAAAGCAGGAGGTGGTTATGGTGGATGCAGAGATCGCGTCCCAGGTCGAGTTATGCACCGGAATCTGCGCGCCGCCCAGCGACCCTCCTGGGCTCGTCCTTCCTAAATTTTGTTCGTATCTTGGAGCTGCTTTTGAGTTACGCATCATGTTGAAGAGACAAGGCAATACAGCGGGGATGATGCTGAGGGTGGTGGTGGATGTGAGAGTAGGAAGAGGGCGGCAAAGTCACCGCCGCCACTGTGAGGAAATGGACTAGTAGTGCCAGCCGATGAGAGTCACTGTTAGTCGTTGGGCAGATAGCAATGCATACGAGCACATTTCATTCCACATTACTAGTACATCAGGTCATTGTGATATTCATGATACGAGACAGCGCGGTACGAGGCGGCGTGATACAAGTACATCGAGGAGACTCGGACGAGGCCAGACAACTACGAGGCACACAGCAGCAGCACGATGGTAACACGAAGACATTAGATGAGGTCAAGGAGGTCGTTGAAAGTGAGCTCCTTGTTGGCGCCATAGCCTAACTGTTGCGAGCTTGCTTCACCAGCATCTCCTGCACGAACTCGAAGCTCTTCAGGTGGTCCGTAAACGACAGACGACTCTGTCGAACGAGATACTTGAGCATGTGCAGAGCCTCCACGATGCCTGCGCTGAGGGTGCACCGAACCGCGTCTGTCTGCCTGGCAGAGAAGACTCGCCCGCACGAAAGCGACGTCGCCTGGGTGGAAGGTAGTCTAGAGCGATCAGGAAGACGGTCGGCCACTGAGTTTGCACGGTAGGCAGCTGAAAGGCACTGAGTCCGCGGAATATCAGAGCTAATGTTAACTTACACTCCAGTATGCCAGAGCGTCGGAGAGCTCCGTCTCTGTCCCTCTTTCGAGCCAAGAGGGTATTCGGCCTCGACAATCGCGTCGAGGGTGTTGCTAACAGGACCCACTGGCTCGTCCAGGTGACCGACGAAGATTTGATCGGCTGTTTCGTACATGCCGGGTAAATGGCGCACAGAGAGTTGCCGAGCCGCATAATCTCTCATCTGTACCGTAAATAACCCATTAGTAGGTACACTGGACAGAACAGCATTTTACTTACTTTATGCTTGACAATGTCGACGGCGTGTTAGTAGTAGCGCCTGTCCCAGTGCTTCCGGACGTGGTCGAGCTTCTGTTTGGGATGTACAACTGCAAAATGGCTTAGTAGGCTGGTGCACAAGGAGAAAATGTACTTACACATGGAAAGGATGCAGCTGTCGGTTAGATCCCTGTAGTTGTGGTACTTAATCGCGATATCCATCCCCGCCTTGATGATGCCTTGAAGATGCGGCCTCGCCGCTGCAAGCTTCTCCATGTTCGTCATATAGATCTCGTACAGCGGGATGGCATCAGCGAGCAGCGGCTGCAATCCTTCAGCCAACAGCATCTGCATGGTATGACCAGCCTGCGTACGGTTATCAACCGCGCTTATATGTGTTGGAAAAACGACCTACCATGAGCACGAGGCCCGTCTCTGTCAGCGCGTCAATTTCGGTGGTCGTCAGAGCCGGGTACGACCTCGCGAACTCCGGGTTTTTCTCCAAGAATATCTTGTATACCTAGATCGTACAACATCAGTATCTTTCGTCAGTGAGCAAAGAGGACTCACCTCTTGCATAGCCAAAAACCGGATGATCATATTATAGGTACTGTCCCAGCGGTTCCGCCTGTCGACCGCCAAGATCTTGTCCTCGTGGAAGATGCCGGTCTTCGGGATGTCCACCCCAAGACCCGCATTCTCGACGATTGCGGCGGCATTGTGAACCGCAATCGAGGTTGCCCAAGAGTCGCGGCACTTAGGAGACGCACTGATAGCAACACAGATCGCCCTCGTCTTCGAAATGGCCGAAGTCTTCACGGCGTCGCCGCCGCGAGTGGCTGAGGATTCGGAGCCATCGTCGCCAGGAGGCTGGATGCCCAGGTAGGTGATCATGTTCTGGGATGAGCTTATCACTCCGTCACGCAGGCAATACATCTGGTCCTTGTTTGGATGGAAGTCACGACGAGCGATCGGGTCCTCATCGAACTTCTTCTTCAGCTCTTCCACCATCTCGTCATTGCGTTGGTCATACTCCATCGTGAATCGTCCGACCTTATCCGATCAGTTACTAGATTACTTCGAATGAGACAGATGCGGTCACCTTGGATAAGATACCGGCGCGCTCCAGAACGAAGTGGACGGCATTCGCGAGGTTTACGCCTAGGTGATATAATTAGAACATAACTAGATGTTTACGTTCGGACTTACCAGTACGGCTCCCCTCGAGCCTCCTGATACCGACGACTGCTGACTCTAGCACGACATCCGTAGGGAATGCTCCTTTGGCAATCCAATGGCCGGTCACGCCGACGTAAGCGCGTCGGCCTGTAGGGTGCACACTGTCAGTAATGTCGCTCGAACCGTCGCGCATGCTTACCCTGTGTATTCCTGTCATCAAAGGTGAAGGATATCTGACCACGCGAGCGCTATCAGGAGTAAGCAATGAGGAGTTATTCAAACATCGTGATGCACCTACCCTAAGCTGTTTCTTGAGCTGATCGAATGTGCGGCCGATTTGCGCCAGAATCAGCGAGCGCGTCTGGTTGCGCTTCGGAATGTCCTCGTCGGCGACGTCGAGATTGAGCAAATGTAAGAGGTCTCGAAATTCAGGTTTCTCGACCACCGAGATCGCCTGATGTTGACGTCAACAACTGCTTCACATAACGAAAGAAATCGTATTTACCTGGTCGTGCGCGACACCCCAGTCCACGAGCTGCCTGTGGAACTCCTCGCGAGGATACTCCGCCACTGGATGATTCTGGTCGATATCCGCAGCTTCTTGAACTGCTGTGACTCCGTTCTTGTAGCTGGGCAGCATGTTCACCCAGCGCCCGGCCGCAGCCAAGCGGTTGTACTCGTCGCGGTGGTAGGCATCGAGGTGAGATCGAAAGATACTGTTACCTGTCTGCAGAGCGTAGATGTAATTGTGGCAAGTCCAGATTGACTTGATCTCGACACCCTTCTTCGCCGCCTTGGTGATTGCCTTCTGATGCCACTTCCTGTCGCTGAAGTTAGCAGGACGACTATATACTAAAGCGCATCACTTACTCGCAGACGATGCAGATGATGTTGGGCTTCGGTGGTACGATGTCAGCAGAAATGACGGTGACAGACCTGAAATAGAAATTGATGTCAGGTACGTTCCCCATGATCACCGCAGGCTGCGTCATGGCTGGACCACCCTGTAGTCCCGCCCGCAACTGCATGATATGTGCCGACAGTGTGGAGGGCGGTCGGATCTGGGTTTCCGGTGAGCAAACAGGCGGTGCGGCCTGGTCGCTAGTCAACGTCGCCAGAGGTTGTTGCTGGGGCGTCGCAGCGACAGCTTCGTCCGAGTCCGTATCCTCGGCATCGGGAACTGCAGCCAGCGCAGGGCCCGGGTCACCCCTGCCACGACCGCGACCACCGCGAGGATGAGTTGGGTTGCCTCTGACTGGGAACGCTTGTAGCATGCAGGGCGGATGGGATGCGACTTGTGTTGAGGACGCGGAGAGGCAGCTGAGTCTCTCCCAGGTTATGGCTGAAGACTGTCCTCATATACTAGGCCGTGTCCGCGGTCAAAACTTCGACACTACCATCCAAAGTGCTCACCGTACATTTGATAATCCTTCTGCAGATCAACCAAAGATATTGACGGCTGAGCCTGCTGTGATTCCTTTGATACCGGAAGCTGAGCTCACCGTGCGTTCCATGACCCTCCTGCAGATGACCCTCCTGCAGATCATCCACGAATGCAGCGTAACAGCTAGGAAATAGACACTTGAATATGCGGCGAAGTCGGCACGCGTCCTCGTGCATTCTGTTATAATTAGTAGATCCGCGGGTGAACTGTACTCGCCTGCAGGTCTGCATTCGTAACGTTCATCTTTGTGCTCCGGTATTTGGGGAATGGCTCCGTTGTCCTATCGCGTCCCATCAGCAGTCGTGCATAGCAAATCCTTTTTTCACGCGAGAATGGGAAAAAACGGACGAAAGCTGCTACTTCTTCGGTAGTTCTCCACTGGGCCAGCTGACCCAAACGTGTCTGCTGTACGACGATCCATTGACGTGCGGGGTACCAAGTCTGCGAGCTGGAACGCATCAACATTGCGGAGATGCCATTGGACGTGCACATTGACCGTCAACTTCGTGAGGCGAAGGATCCCACAGGCAGATGGAAGGCGCTTCCGAATTGCGACTCGTTACGTTCCTTGGTCGTGAGCGATTTCACTGGCTTCAAGATCATGTTGTAGTCGAGGTGGAGGCAGTTCAGGTTCTGGTAAAGTACGTCAGTGACCACGTTGACCACACTTCCCGAGACAACGTACCTTCCGGTGGATGAGCAGGTTGAGCATGTTGTAACCCTGCCTGCAGACCTGCAGACCCGCCTCGACCCAGTCTAACCGCGTGGTCTGGAAAAACTTGGTCGCCTTCAGCTGTTTGAACAGGTTCTTCTTCGACATGGCCTTCTCCGGGCGTGTCTTGAGTTCGTTCAAGACGTAGCACTTGAGTAGAATTTGATACAATACGCGAACCTTGACTGCCTGGTTAGGAGGGCAGTGCTCGAGATACCAGTCCTTCACGAGCGGGATATCCTGCGCTCGGCGCATACGCCCTGAGCGGCGGCTGTACGGATCGGGCGCCCACCAGAGCGCGATAGCATCCGCCGTGAGATCGCTCTCCAGCGGCTTGTCCTCGGGGAAAGGCTCGACCTCGTCAGCGAGCTCGAAGTCGTCGTCCTCAGCGTCATTCGGGCCGAAGATCGCGTCCTCATGGAGTACAAATGGCGCGTTCTTCGGTGTGAAGCTGCGCAACGAGATAGGACTGATGAGAGGGTCGAAGTAGAACACGGGAAGGTCAGGGTCATCGGTGCGAATGTAGACGATCTTCGGGGTGTGGTGCAGAGATATGCGGACGGAACGAGGGAGGGCTTTTTACAGATGCAGGATAGCGACATTGTACTCGAGTTGCTGTTCATGTGGTCCGACAGGAGTGTGACCCAGCGGTACAGGTTCACTATGATGGCAGCGTCAGGTCCCAATAGGTTACGGCGATCCGTTGACGTGCGGGGTGTCAGAAAGCGACTTTCCGTCGGGCGACTGGTATCTATCGGAAGCGGGTGTGGACTGGGAGATGTCAGCGTAAAAATGGTCAGATACTCACCGAGTCAGTGCCCATGTTACTCTCTCCCTCCCAAAATGTTGCGGCTGCACTTGCTAGCCGCTCTCACGCGGCGGCGGGTCGCCGAGCACGTCTGCGGTGGAGCGCGCGCCGGGCGCGGTCTGCGTCGTTCATAGATAGCAGCGGCGAAGGGATGCGAGGATGCAGACGAGGCAATGGTATCACGTTATGGACGAGGACGTTTGAGGTAGCAGCGGAGGTGGCACTGTAATCTAGTCAGGAGGTGGCACTGTAATCTAGTCAGGAGGTGGCCATGGTGGATGCAGAGATCGCGTCCCAGGTCGAACTTACTTAGGTGACACTTAGGACTTAGGCATCGCAAACGGAGTAGAGACCGGACTCAGTTCGTAGAACTTGGGGTGCGTGGACCTTATGTAATCAGCCCTCGCAAACGCCGGCGTGCGTCCATCTCTCAGTCTCTGCGGCCCACCTTGCGGCATAGCTCCTTGTACGCTCGACGCTCGACGCTGCGCCGCTCCTCTCTGTTTGCTCTCCCTGAACCTAGCGATGTCGAAGCAATGGTTGGCTCCCGGGGTGCGTTTGTCGGGTTATTGTGTATGTGAGGTCGCTGGTATCGAAGCGGAGGACGGTGAGAGGGCGAGGCGGACAGACAGGCTGTGGTCGATGACGGTGAGTGCAAGGCCATGTTGTCGAGGATCGTCGGACAGTTGACGCACTGCCTGGGCGTGTCGACCTGTCGTCCTGTGCCTGTACTCTTCTGGCGAGGAAGACATTCGGCGCTGACGCGCGCACAGACGACCGGACGCTCAATGAGGCTTTCTGAACCCTACGTTTCCTGTCCCCAGTTCCGCGACCTCGTCATTGCGAAGGACCAGTGCCCCCTCGGCCAGAAGGACAATGCTGCCCCGGACTCCAATGTGACCTTGCTTACTCTTGCGTGAGTAAGAACTCGCTATGCACAACTGCTGATGGGACGCGATAGGATAACGGAGGCCATTCCCCGAATACCAGACTGCAAGATGAACATAACGAATCCAGAACTGCAGGCGAGTATGGTTCACCCACGAATCTGGTATTGCTGACAGAGAATGAACGAGGATGCATCCCGACTGCGCCGTACATTCAAGTGCCTATGTTTAGCTGTTGCATTGCATTCTTGGATGATCTGCGGGAGGGTTATGGAACGCACGGTGAGCTCAGCCTCCGGTATCGAAGTAATGCGCAGTAAGCTCAGCTTCTGAAACCTTTGGATGATCTGCAGGAGCGACGATTATCGAACGCACGATGAGCTCAGCTTTCGACAACTTTGGTTGATCTGCAGGACAAGTATCGAGCGCACGGTGAGCCGACTTCCGACGGTAATGTCGAAGTCTTGACCACGGACACGACCTGGTATAGGCGGACAGTCCTCAGCTATAAAACCTGAAGGAGATCTCTCCGCGTCCTCACCTCAAGTCGCATCTCATCTGCTCCTGTCTACTGCTAGGAATGCCACCGAGAGGCGACCCAGCTCGTCCTCGCGGCGGTCGTGGCGGTCGCGGTCGTGGCGGTCGTGGCAGGGGTGACCCGGACCCTGCGCGGGCTGCAGTTCCCGAGCCCGAACCTTTCGACCTCGACAATGTATCGGGTAGCTCGGACGACGAAGCTAGAGCCGCCCCGGCTCAGGTCGTTGCGACTTCCCAGCAACATCCTCTGATAACGTTGACTAGCGACCAGGCCGCACCGCCTGTTCGCTCACCAGAAACCCGACTCCAACCGCCCTCCGCACTATCGGCGCAGATCATGCAGTGGCGAACGGGACTACAGCCCGGTCCAGCCATGACACGCTCTGAGGCTAGCAGGGGGAGCGTACCTGATATCAACTTCTACTTCAGACTCGTCACTCCCACTATCTCAGATAACGGACCGCCAAAGCCCGCCGTCATCTGCATCGTCTGCGAGTAAGTGATGCGCTCTAGTATACAGTCGTCCTGCTAACTTCAGCGACAGAAAAGCGCATCAGAAGGCAGTCATCGAGGCGGCGGAGAAGGGCGTCGACATCCAGTCGATATGGACGTGCCACAACTACATCTATGCTGAGAAGACGAGTAACAGTCCGCTCCGATCCCATCTCGATGCCTACCACCGCGACGAGTACGCCGGCTTGGCTGCGATCGGGCGCTGGGTGAACATGCTGCCCAGCTACAAGGACCAAGTGAAGGCAGCGCAAGAAGTTGCGGATATCGACCAGAATTATCCGGTGGTGGAGTATTCTCGCGAGGAGTTCCACAGGCGACTCGTGAACTGGGTGGTCGTGGACGACCAGGTAAGTACGATTTCTCTCGTTATGTGAAGCAGTTATTGACGTCAACATCAGGCGATCTCGGTGGTCGAGAAACCTGAATTCCGATACCTCTTACGTCTGCTCAATCCCGATCTTGCCGACGAGGACATTCCGAAGCGCAACCATATGCGCTCGTTGATTATGGCGCAATTCACGCGCACATTTGATCAACTCAAGATTCAGCTCACGGTAGGTATCACACGATGAATGAACAAGGCACTGCTCACCCTCCTGATAGCACTCGCGCGGTCAGGTATCTCTGACATCCGATGGTTGGGATACTCAAGGTGAGCACGCACAGCAATCAAGCGAGTACATCACTGACAGTGCGCCCTACCAGCTCGACGCGCTTATGTCGGTGTGACGGGCCATTGGATTGCAAAAGGAGTGCTGCCTACGGATCTTGTGATGAAGTCAGCAGTTGTCGGTTTTAGGAGGCTCGAAGGGAGCCATACTGGTAAGTCCGAACGTGAACACCTAGTTACTTTCTAATTTTATCACGTAGGCGTAAACCTCGCGAATGCCGTCCACTTCGTTCTGGAGCGCGCCGGTGTTGTATCTAAGGTAACCACATCTGCCTTATTCGAAGTAATCTAGTAACTGATCATATTAGGTCGGACGATTCACGATGGACTCCGCGACAAGCAATGCAAAGATGATGGAAGAGCTGAAGAAGAAGTTCGACGAGGACCCGAACGCTCGTCGCGACTTCGACCCGAGTAACGACCAGATACATTGCTTGGGCCATGGAGTCAACCGAACCTCGCAGACAATGATAACTTACATGGGCATCCAGCCCCCTAGCGACGATGGCTCCGAATCCTCAGCCACTCGCGGCGGCGACGCCGTGAAGATCTCGGTTGTTTCCAAGACAAGGGAGATATGCGTTGCCGTTCGTGCGTCTCCTAAGCGCCGCGACTCTTGGGCGACCTCGATTGCGATTCATAATGCTGCTGCTATGGTCAAGAACGCGGCGCTTGTGGAGGGCATCCCGAAGATCGACATCTTCAAAGAGGACATGATCTTGGTGGCCGACATGCGGATCCGCTGGGATAGCACGTACGTTATGATCATGCGGTTTTTGACGATGCAAGAGGTGAGTTATCTCTGCGCACTGACGACAGATACTGATCTTATATGACATAGGTATACAAGGTGTTCTTGGAGCAAAACCCGGAGTTCGCGAGGTCGTACCCACCTCTGACGACCACCGAGAATGACGTGCTGACGGAGACGGGCCTTGTGCTCATGGTAGGTCATTCCTCCAACCCACATGAGCGCGATTGACAACCCTATGCAGGCTGGTCATAATATCCAGATGGTGCTGGCTGGAGAGCGGCAGCCGCTGCTCGCCGATGTCATACCGCGGTACGAACTCTATTTGACGAACATGGAGAGGCTCGCGGAGCGTAGGCCGCATCTTCAAGGTGTCATCCAAGCCGTTTTGGATGTCGCGATCAAGTACTACAAATACATGGACCTGACCGACAGCTACATCCTATGCATGTGTAGGTACATTCCGGCCTTATTGACTAACCTGCTAATCCACTTTCTAGTCGTACATCCGAAATACAAGATGGATCACATGCGCGACCACTGGGAGCAGCCCTACTACCAGCGTGCCATCGACATCGTCAAGAGTAAAGTAAGTAGACCACTATTCTATGTAGTGTGGCTACTAATGCGACATTTGCGGTGCAGATGCGGGTTTACGCGGCTCGGCGACCGCCTGCGGCGGCTGCGGCGCCGCCTGCACGTCGAGCAGGACCTTCGCAGCCGCAAAGGCCTCAGGCGTTGCGCAGCATGTACGAGGCAGCTGATCAAATTTTCGTTGGTAACCTGGGCGACGACGAGCCAGCGGCCCCTGCTCAAAGCACCCTTGACGCGACTGTCGAGACCGAATACCACTCCTGGCTTGAAAGAGGGACGGGGAATGAGCTATCCGACGTCCTCGCGTACTGGAGTGTAAGTGAATGATTGCCTGGCTATGATACTTTGTACTCATTGTGCCCTCTCAGCTGCCTGCGGCACAGACACAGTGGCCTACGATCTTTGCTATCGCGTTGGACTATCTTCCGACGCAGGCAACATCGGTTCCCTGCGAGCGAGTATTCTCTTCTGCAGGGCAGACGGACACAGCCCGGCGCAGCCGCCTTAGCCCAGATCTTATGGAAGCATTGCAAGTGCTGAAGTACCTCATCCGGCAAAGCCGCTTGTCATTTACTGATCACCTCCAGGGTTTCGAGTTTATACAGGAAATGCTGGTGAGGCAGGCTCGCGCTGAAATGGCCTATAATGAGGACGAGGAGCTCACTTTCGAAGACCTCCTCGACTTCATCTAATGTCTTCGTGTTACCATCGTGCTGCTGCTGTGTCGCCTCGTAGTTGTCTGGCCTCGTCCGAGTCTCCTCGATGTACTTGTATCACGCCGCCTCGTACCGCACTGTCTCGTATCATGAATATCACAATGACCTGATGTACTAGTAATGCGGAATGAAATGTGCTCGTATGCATTGCTATCTGCCCGACGACTAACAGTGACTCTCATCGGCTGGCACTACTAGTCCATTTCCTCGCAGTGGCGGCGGTGACTTTGCCGCCCTCTTCCTACTCTCACATCCACCACCACCCTCAGCATCATCCCCGCTGTATTGCCTTGTCTCTTCAACATGATGCGTAACTCAAAAGCAGCTCCAAGATACGAACAAATTTA